CTTTGACCAGGACAAAATGGCCCTCAACATTAACCACCCAGAATCAGAATTTCAAAGGCGGTGTTATTTGAGAAAGCAATCCTTCAGTGAAGTTGGGTGTGACATTTCTGACTTTTTGCTCTTTAAAACTCATGCCTCGAACTCTGGTCACTAAGCACAAACCTAAAGAAATGGGTTTGGAGCTCTAACTTAACTAGTGGAAACTCAACTGAATGATAATTAATAATAATCACCAAATATCCATTTCTTCCCATAGATCGCAACTTGCCAACACTGAAGAATTCAGTCAGTTTAACCTGAACTCTTAGGTATGTCTAGACTTGGCCAAATCCGTGAAGTCCAGAAACACCTGAGCTAGTTCCAGTGTCAAAACCATACTAGCCACAGGAGCAAGGAGAAAATTTTGAGCAAGGAGCGATTTTGAGGTAGATTAACTCTTTCAGATCTTAGCGTGAAACTCTAAATCCCCAAATAACTTGGGACAACTCTACAACATCCTAGAGCGTGCCAGGAAGACATACCCTTAACTTGCCTGTGCTTTGGTGCTTGGGATACTGGCTTCGTGCCTTATCAGTGAGCTTTCGCTCTTCAGTTCCAGGGAACACTTTGTGAACTGAGTGAAGAGAAACTAGGATTTTTCCACCACACTCCATTTTATAGATCACTAATTATAATCTGATATACCAGGAGCCGGCAGTCTGGACATTTGTGTTAGGCTTTTGTGATGCTTTGTGTTCAGTAACTCACACTACCTCAAAAAACTAGCTTTGAAAATACATACATAGCGTTTGCAGAAGCTGTTACCAAAAAAACGTAGCTGACACATACGTAGTCCTTAAAACATACTCTCCAAACACCACTGCATTTTCTGAACTTCCCTCAAGATTTTTGTTGTCTAGTATATTTATAATCTAGAAATGAAACAAAAAGTTTTAAAAAGACAAGTAAACAAATCAGTTTTCTATCATAATTCCAGATCACAGTCCACGCTCTCGCAGATGCGTGTGTTAGACAGGAAACACTTTGTCCCTTCTAGCCAAACGCCGCCTCCCAGAGCTAACAAGCATCGGCTTCATTTCATCTACTTTTGTAACTACAACACACACCTTGCCTCCACAGCAAACAGCAGCAAACAGACATCAAGGCCCTTGCCGGTAAGAAGCAGCAGACTTTTTTATAGTTTAGAAAGTACTAATTCTTCTGATGAAAAACATACTGGTGTTGGATGTCCTAAACCTAGCACCCAGCAACCACGACATGCAGACTCACAAGACCCTTCTGAAACTCAGGGAAAGCATGACAACAAAGCCAGACAGAAAGTGAAAGAAGATACGAAAAACAATGATTAGTGTAATTTCTAAGAGACGAAGTCATTGCGGGTCTCCCCAGTCGAAGGAAATTCTGAGTTTAAAAGAGTGAACCTCTCAAAGCACAGTCAGCGTTCATATTTTTACTACTGCTAGGTTTCTTGGACAGTCATTTTATACCATCGTTCATCACTGGAAAATATGGTCTGATGTGCAAGCAATAAAACATGCACCAAAACCCCATAAAATAAGGACTCATTTCAACACATGAGAAGTTTTTTATGGTATTGTAAAAGGCTTGAGCAAATTTTAGTCCGCTTCTGAACAGAGTCATTATTTGTCCAAAGGGGTGCCTTCTGCCCGAGCGCCGGACCACACCACGAGGGGTTCTCTTTTCAGAGGAGGTCCTCACGGCGCTCCTCCCGTGGTCCTTCCAGCACGCCTTGCCTTCCTCCCTCGGCTGCCTTGTCCCTTCTCAGCGCCGCAGCAAAGTATGTTTTGCTGTTTCATACGCTTCTCGGCTGAAAAGCAGCCATTAAGGGGTTAAGCTGAAAGCACCAAGCTGCTGCCTCCCGCTGAAGGATTGATTTGATCATTCTTCAGGGATTCCCTCTTGTATGAGTCACTGGCTGCTCAGACAGACTCCCCACACAAGGAGGCCAGGATAATGCCATTCCTCCAGAGACTACAACAGCTGAGGGCTAGCCCTGAAGACGGAGAGCTTGGGACTCACACTTGGAAAAACATTCAGTGGACCACAATGCACTCGGCAGACTTAAAGAAATTATTCAGACAGAAGGGGAAAAAAAAAAAGGCAAACAAAAAGTGTTCTCAAAGTCTTTCCATTAACCAATTAAGTATGCAGACTAGCATGAATTAGATGAGCTCCCGGAGACTGCCTCCTGGCCTGGGGACTCTGCCCAAGTGAGGACTGAAGACATGAGCTCATGGAGTATAATATTTAAATTTTATATAAAAGATACATTCTCTTTATGAGCGCAATGATTCCTGTGATCTATTACTTTGTAATAGCTGTGTTTGGCTGCTACCCACTAGGAACGTGATTAACATTTCGAACTCAAAAACAAAAGCCCTAACAGCAGCAAAACTAATGAGTGTCTCCAGCTAATCACAAAAGTTCATAACCAGCTTTCTAAAAGAAAGAGAAACTATGCTGGTGTTCCCTCTCTTGACCTACTTTCGCAGACGTGAACGAGCTGAAAGGGAAAGAAACACCGGGTGCTGATTTACAAAAGCGAGGGCTGGTAATGCTTGTTCGTTTGACAGTGACTCTGCTCAAAAATCGAGCCAGAGCAGGCTGCTGCTAAGACAGTGACACATGGTGCTTGTTCCCAGCACATGGAGCTGGGTGAGGCAACGTAGCACACAACTCATCACAGAAGCCCTAGAAACCGTTCAGCCCAGCTCAGCCAGCCACTCTGGGTTTCGTGTGCCGTCCCTAGGGACGCGACTGCAGCTCCTGGAGATGCTGAACGCTCTGGACTTTAAAGGCTCGGCCCCTGCAGCGTACCTCCACAGGGCAGTACGGCCCTGCACCTGCAACAAAGCTCCTGTGAGACTACTAAAACCAGGCAGGACAGTTTCAGATTAGATCTTTCAATACTGACTTAATGATCTTGATTACTCTTCAACAAGAGCAGCTCACTGATGGACTCCTGCAGCACTGCCCCCAACTCCATGCGAGGGGGAAGAGTGCAGGGGGGTCTCCCGTGGTGCTTTCACCTGCAAGAGACAATCCTGCACTGGTCCATCCTGCCAACCCATGCACCCAAGGAGTCCACCCCAGGAGTTTTTCAGGGTGACAGGCAAGTCCTTTTGATCATTTTCTTCCTCATCAGCACACCCGGTGTGCAGCAGTACACTCCGTCTCTCGCAATGTTTAACAAATGCCGCTTATATAAATTATTTTCTATCTATATGTGGTCTCTGTGCAGCCTCAAATTCCTTTTGCTTGAGGGAGGTTATCTGTCTGGTTAAGAAGTACAAGGCTGGCCCAGTTTTGCATTTTTGTAATTTAAGGCTATACAGCGCACATCCTGCTTTTGGTGTGCTCCGTGCTAAGGGAGACAGCGTCCACACCCACACGGTGGTACCTGCTGGTGGGTGAGTAGCATCACCTTCATAATCCTTTGGGATGTAATACTTCAAATTTGTACAACTCAATAAAGGAAGGGGAGAGAACATAAGTATGAGGGAAAGCACCCTTTAATGTGGTTTCCTTCCTGCAATGAGAGAGATCAAGGACTTTGCTCCTGACATGTCACACAAACCCACTTCTGTGCACCAAAGGAAGTTTAAATATAAAGTAGGAAGTCACGCTCCTCCCTCCCCTCACGCTACGCAAAGAGCAGAGTCCAGGTTTTCTTAATTGCAATACCACATTTTCCCCTTTTTTTTAACTTTCTTAAGAAACAAAAAAAGCATGTTCTGCTCATCTCACGGCCACAGCCTGAGTGCACGCGGTGTGGCACTTGGGGGTCACAGGCACGGTGCTGACTGGCTCTCGCCCAGGAACAGGGCCATCATCTCCACCCCACGTGCGCTTTTGGTGACTTTAACCTCACCAACCCAGGACTCCACCGAGGAATCTCAGGAAAGTCTTCTGCTCTTCCCCTGGACCCTAACCCTCAGATGCCTTTGCCTCCAGAGCCTCCCCCGCTCACCCTGCCTTCCCAACCCGTGGCCCGGCTTCCTGCATCACTGCAGGAGAAGGCGCGGGAACCTCGCGGACATGGAGGGTTAAACGGGCGCAGCGTCAAAGCCGCCGCTGGCAGCCGAGGACAGCCCAAGACTGTTTAAAGTTCAGAGGGGGGGGTTTCAGCCAGCAGCTGAGGAATCCGTGGCTTGTGCCAGCGCCACGGAAACCCTTTCCAAAACAAGACTCAAAACTACCCTTAATGATCTCGATCTCATTTCAGAGCCTGACTTTGACTCACAGCTCTGCTCCCACCGCCTTTTCCCGCGTTATGCATTGTCACCCTGTGACCCACCACTCCTGCAGACACCCCACCACTCCTGCAGACATCTCCTGCTCCAGCCCCAGCTCCCACGCCAAGTGCTGCTTGCCCTGCTTCAGCCTGGCCCGGGACCCTTCCCCAGCATGATGAGTCCCACCTCCAGTGCACCACAGGAGCAGCGCTGGGTGAGGGGGTAGTCACGTTCAGTCCTCCCCCAGTCCTCAAGGTAAACCAGAAACACGTCCTTCAAATGAACGCACGGGCGCTGCAAGCCCTCCTCAGCCAGCAGCTTGTCAAAGCCTCCGGTCTCAGCCGCCACAGGAGGAGATACAGGCACGCACACAGCACCAGCAGCACCACTCCGTCTTCCACAAATTCCACAACGGTTTAACAAGGTGCACTACCTTGCAGGTTTTACAGGGACATGCCACCAGAGGCTTCAAACACCTTTCACATGTCCTACCTGGTACAGCCATGGTTTGCTACAAAACCAAACACCAATCATTGACTTTCAATGTCGCTGTGGTCTGCCTGTAACTACTTCGGCCATAGTGTGAAAACTCAGCGTTAGGCATGGCTCAGAGCACTTTCACAGCTCTGCCCAGTGACGTGGAAAACATATTATGTGCAGGAGAAAATGTCATTACCATATTTATGCAGGGATTTTAAAACAGGGGAAAAAAGGCAGACCCGAGTCTAGATTGGAAAGACATACCTGGTGCTTTCTCCACAAAGATGACTTTGGAGTCTTGCAGAAAGTTATGGCCAGTCAGTATCATTTTCTTCCCTCCAACAACAGGAAAGCTGTCAGTACTTTGCTTCTCCACCAGAGGCAATTCTTGGGCAGATCTCTGAGCTGGAGAATTATAAAGAAGATTAAAAAAACAAAAACGAAAAAAAAGAAAGCAGCCACAAACACACACACACAAAAAGGTAAATACTGCATTAGTAAGTAACTTAATGCTTACCCTCATAAGATAAGCTGAGTTTGATATGGAAACAAAGAAAGGTCAGAAGGTTTGCAGGAAACACGGATGGTTTTCAAGTGTCTTGATTGTAAACAATAAGGTTATCAAACATAGCAGCACGAACAATTCAAAAGATTCACAATGAACAAACTGGTTTAAAACTCTGCTTGATCTATACTACATCAAAAAGCATATTTTTATTGAAATTCGTTTATTTTAAACAATTTTCTCTTGTGTTATCTATATCATATCCGCCATGTGTTTATAAGGCACATCTGACAAGATGACCACCCATGTCCAAAACGTGTTTCAGTCACTATACACTGTATTGTCAATCCTGCAAACCTTCTTGCAGCAGCAGCAGCCATGGGCCCCATGATCCAGTGTAAGCTCACAGTTTAGAGAGTGTATTTCCACCAGAACCTGAGGGCCAAAACACACATGGATCCATGCAAACAGAATGAGGTATTCTCGTGGCACTTATTTTATCCCCCCGAACTGGGACACGGAGCGAGTGTGGCTGTGCTTCAAGAGATGACGTGACATTTTATCCAGCTTACATGGTTCCTCACGGTGTCACATGCGCTAAGAGATGCATGAAGTTTTTGGCACTAGCTTATTCCACATTCTGCACTGGAAATAACACTAGCACTTATTTTTTCTCCCATTTTCCACTCCTTTCAGGAGGCATGTACCACACTTTTGCTGGTTACACAACCCTCAAAACTGCAGTTCACTGATACGAATCCAATTGGCTTCATGTTTAGCAGCTTTCTGAGCTTGGCACCTCTGCACAGACCAGTTCACGATGTGTTCAAATTGTGCCTTATCCTGCTATACAGCAACTGAAAAGTCTCATCAACTTCAACAGGAGCAGAACGAAACCATGACTCCTCCCAGTTTTTGCTTTGCCTGTTAGCCTAGACCTTGCCCTTGATTAAGAAACGAAGGAGAAATTATTCATCACCTATATGTCCTGGACAGAAGACGGGGCTTTATGCCAGTCTACCTGCTATAGGTGAGAAGGCTCTGCTACTCTCCATAAATAACAAAGGCTGATATGGATGTAACTGCCTTCCCACTGCTAATGCTCACTTGTTTATTTAAATGAATGATAGTGAAGGAGAGAAGCTATCACTGTTGGTCTAACAGCACGACCCTTTCCTACAACTTCTGCCTCTCCTGCAGACTCAGAGTACCAGAGTGGCAGCAGTGCTACCCTAGGCAAAAGGACGGAATACTGTCACTGGTCTGAAAGTCTGTCACCAGCGCCACTGCTTTTGCAAGAGGAATGCAGGGATGCTCCTTCCTGCAGCCTCCCTGAAAAACCACCGTGCCTCCCAGAGATCAAATGCTGACATGCCAGGACCTGCCAGACTCCAGCCTGGCAATGATGCAGGGACAAGCGTGGACACGACCCTCTAGCATGCATGGAGCTAGGGATGGTCAACCCTTCCTCTCCCTCCCCTCTGCTTCCCACTCCCAGAGCTCACCCCTCACATGGCCCCGGATGTTAAGTTACTTCCTACCCTGTTGGCATCACAAAGACCCACTTTGTGGAATTCCACAAAACCTTAAAAAACTGTTTCAGCCCATCCAGTTGATGAAATTAGCCTTGCGAGTTAAGACTGAAATTCAATCTCCACCACTTACGCTGCAGTTAAAGCTACACAAAGCAAATAGGTTTTGTTCTGCGTGTAGGAGGCTGACGAGGCTTACAGAGCAAGAATCATACAGGTGTCTTTGGAGGGTGCCCCGGTGTATCTGATAAAAAGCAGCCTGCTCAATCAAAGAGACCCCAGTGCGGAAATCTGGTTTCTGAAGGTTTTCTGAAGCTGCAGGCAGCTCGGGCCAGTGTGTAAGCTCTAGCATACTGCTAGCTCCTCATCAAAGGGGCTGGGGTTTGGTTTGCTGGTTTTTGCTTTATGATGGGGAGACAGAGAGTGAACAGGTCATGAAAGCTGTTTTCCAAAACTCCTACAGCAGTTACCTGTACAACAGGGAGTCGGTCAACAGCCTTGTCACTCCCAGGACTACTATCAGTTTAAGTGCACTCTACTTTGGTTTTAAGTGTGTTCTTTCCTATAGCAATCCATGCACAAAGCTACACATCTTTTCTAAGGCATGAGTATTTTGTCTTCAGTATAAACCACGTGTTTCTGGAAAGCAGATTAAGGCTCACCGACTAGACAGGTAAGGCAAAACCCTCGTATAGCATGTCACTGGAGACAGACTGTGCATGGAGTGGCACAAAACCCAGCAAAAAAAGGATGTTTGTCGCTACTTACAGCACTCGATGGGGTTGGAGGCTACTTGCAAGGAGAGGGTCCTGCCGTTGGCCTGCGGGATATGAACCCTGAAGACCAGCCGCACGCGCGTGTTCTTCCGACCGATGTCCGTCTCTCCCTTGCGCAGCTCGATGTCAGAGTTTCGGAGCTTTAATATCCCAGCACAGTCGATGCTATCCAAAAGGGAACACAGGGCAATTCAACGCATTTCAAGCAGACTTTGGGAAGACACGAGCATGCAATACCTTCCCTCTGTCCTGCACACCCTTCTTAGAAATCTGAGTCAGACACGACCCAACGACCAGGCTGAACACAGGAGACTTTGTCAAGCCTAGTACTTGCATCCACAAGAGGCTAAGCTGGGGCTGTCTGCAGTAACCGGCAGTAGCTGCTGGTGAGCACACAAATTTAGGATGTTACTTCAGTTCCCAGAGGAAGAAAACCTAAAAGATCCTTCCTCCCCAACACATCCTATAAGGACGGTGCTTACAGATTAACCAAAGCCCAAAGAAACAGGGAGACTAGAAAAGTCAATGGGATGAGATGATAGTGCATGAAGTGCTACTAACCCACAATGCAGGGTTACTTATGATTTCACTTGTTACAGCTAATTTGGAGAAAAATCTGACATGATTTTTATTCTAGGGCAAAGTCCTGAAAACGCTTATTAATTAGCACAGCTCTCCCTGAGGTCAGTTCTGCTGTCAATGTGTTTGTATTTGAAGGAGTTGGAAATACTCCCAAGCTGAGCATTGAGCTGAAGCTCCGCATGAAAAACCTAAACTCCCTCCACATTAGGGAAAAACGTGCTTTTCGTCAGATAGAACTATTACTATTCCTGACCTCTCTCTCCTTTTTCTTAACTTTGGTTTTCTCCTGGATGAGTTTACAAGTCGGGATTTTTGTCAAAGCAAATTTCAATAGAGGAAGTTGCCAGAACAAAAGATATATAAACACAGGCACTCAAAAACCCACTGCAAAAATATCTCTGCTTTGGCCACAACTACAAAGCCTACATGGCAATTTCTTCTGGGTACTGGTCTCTGGCACGCATTTTATTACACTGAATATGCATAGTTTAATTTTATTTTGCATTCAAAGAGTTTAATTCCTCCTCCAGCCCTTTGAAGCTCTGTTCTGAAGCAAACTGCAAACAAGAACTATGGCAGCATGGTTTTGATCTGCATTTTTTCTAAAGTATGGATTTCAGAATAACAAAAAGGCCCTTGCTGATATGATCAAAGCAACTAATGAAAGTATTAAAGCTTCTTGACAACGCATATTAGCAGGTGAGGCCATAAGAATTATGAAATATTTGTACCCATGTCAACATTCTACACAAAGATCTGTAAGATACGGAAGAAACGGTGCGCTTCTCAATATTGTCTCTCCTACAGCAACTCTTGTAAAGCAAATAAAAAAGTAGTTAATGACAATTAGTTCAAAGCCAAGAAAGTTCAGAGGAGAAAAACCATTTAAATTCAGGCTTGTAAAGTCATGGACATTAAAATCTCAAGTCAACAGGAGCAGCTAAATGTGCAAAAGTTTAAACGTGCAGATGAGCTTTAGTGTTTCACTGAACCAAGGCCTGAGTACACAAAGTATGTGTGAGAAATGTCCTTGGCTCCAAATTTCAGTTCATTGTTAGTGCTACATGAGGTTTTAGACTACTGACGTGTTAAGGCTTATATATGCCAAAGCATTGTTTGTGGTTCTTGAGACAGCTCTACTACCATCTGGCACGCATGTCAAGAAAATACTCAGCTTGGCTCCCAAACTGTGCAACTACCTTTATTCTAGGGAGAAAGACAATTGAAACAGTAATAATGTTCCTAGATGGCCAAAAATGTGACTCAAACTGGACAAATACAGAGCCAAAAAAATATTTCATGGGTACAAACTGGTGAAATTTCAATAACCTCGATGGAGTCGTGGCGGCTTACGATGACAGCAAATGGGGCCAGTGATTTTGCAGGCTTGTCGTGACTTTTAACACAATGCACTGACAGAAGTCCTCAGGTCTTGAGTGATCACCCTGAGCCCAGCTGGCAACGCAGCTAAGCACATTCTAGCTCTTCTATTTACATGAGGCACTCCGGGGCATGTTGTACATGACACTGCAAACCAGCTTCTAATAACCACTACAGGCAGAAGAACTCCACGTGTCTGATACCATTTTTCACCTCATTAAGGTGTGGAAAACTGTATGAATAACATGGCGTGAAACTGTGATTTTTACTAAGCTCCCCGGGATTTTCCCGTGGTATTTGGTTTGCTGGGGCCAGGATTTCTTGCTTGCTTTCTGTCTCTCTACCTACTTATCAATCTGTCTCCCCCCCCACACACACACAAAGGTGCATGCCTCTGTATGTAAATATGAATACATTCCCATTTACACACACAGCGAGAGCTGCACATGCACCCAAGCACACACAAATTCCTCCCACGGCAGACACCTCAGATAAGGGACAGGATCATTTGAATGAGGGGTGCAGAGCGGACAGGATTAAATAATGTGGAGGGTCTCATGTATGTCACGTACCCAGAGGGATATTTGAACCTTTATATACAATCCTATAATGAAATCTACCTGTGTGTAATGGACCTACGGGGCGCTTCATGATCACACAGACTCCTAATTCAGAGATCCTAAGACATCCGTGCCTGCTTTTCTGCATAGCACTAAACTTACCCCGGTTTAGTAACTCCAATCTGTAAGCTGTATCACCTTTACTCCTCTTCCTAGTTCTAGAGGCTTTGCTTCTAAACAAATGCCATGAGAAAGGCTGATTTTTATTACGTAAGAAATAAGAGTGGTTTCGTTCGTCTCAAAAAACTACTAAGGGAACTTGGAAATGCTCTCTAAGGGTTTCCTTTGATATCCAAAGATAAATTTTAATAGGCCCTGTTCCTTGTGCTAGTGCGTATCGGAGCAAGAGGTGTCGTATTTAGAAACTAAATGCAGGAGCTGAGGTAGGAGATATTTACAGCTTGGTAACTGAGATACTTAACTGAGATACTTATTTTAAATGGCAAATAAGCACATTGGCTGAAACTCTAGAATGAAAGAAATCAGTTGTCATAAATATTAGTGAAGTTCATTTTGCTGTTAAGCTGGTTAGGGGCAATTTGTTCCAGCAAAGTTGTGAAAACCTACTATTACAGGGAGAACTAAAAAAAAAAAAAGCTGGGAAAAGGAAAACGGTGTACAAAAAAACCACCCAAACAACACAGAAGAAGTGAAGTGACCAAGAGGAAAATGCTAGGAGTCAGATATGGTGCCTGGGTCTTACATTGCTCTCATGTTGTTCTCTGGAAGAAGTGGAATTTCCAGGACTTTGGTGTTGGAAAGTATTGTTTCGTGGCTGGTGGTGGAAACGGTCTTGCCGGTGATTCGATGAACCTGGTAGAAAGCATGGGGTCGCAGCAGGCGGTCGTCTGCAGTCCCAATGAACAGCTGTAGCGTGAGCGGCTCGCTTTCTAAGTAACCATGTAGCTGGCAAGAGAACAGAAAACGCCCACTGAGCACCACGCACATAAACTGCTAGGAATCAATTAAATTTTTATAAGCAGGAGAGCCTAATTCAAGGAGAGAACTTGTGACAGGTGCTACGTGTTAAGTTACCCCCTTCCATTTTTCCTGTAACGTAATATTGGTACAATAAAAAGGTGCACTCAAAAAACATCTCATTATCCTAAAGGACCTGAGGCACTTCAGACGGGGTGAGCTTTTGAGCACTCCTGCTCCGTCCACAGAAAACTTTGCATAAATTCTGCCATGGCGTTCAGCAAAAAACCGCAATGAAGTCAAAGTTCCCTCCTGGTACTGAGTACTCGCAAAGCCGACAGTCTGCGAGTGGAAAGGACACAGCTCATCCATCCCCAAGCCTCCCAGGTCACCCTCGTGCAGCAGCAGGCTGCTGCTCGTGACACGTCCCCTCATTAAGCGATTTTTACGCTGGTAAATATCTCCTGGGACAGCGTGGAGACAGATCACATATACACAACTAGTAGCTCACCATCTGTGTCAAATTCTTGTTATAATCACACAAAAATCCCATTGAAGCTACTGGGCCTGACTTGAACCTCATCCATGTTACAGTGACCGCTCTGATGACAAGAGTTATTTCTGTCACAGGCTGGGGACGGAGCAGGAGCAGAGTCTGACCTCATCCCCACCACCTCCTGAAGAAGCTACTCCGGGTTCACGCTGGTGCGAAGGAGACACAGGTAGAGCAGGCTGGGGACAGCTCCAACCTCCTCTTAACGCTGTTGCCCGACACTGGGAAAGGATTCTCACAAAAGTAGTTATCTTGCAGCGGTTATCTGCGAAGCCTCCTCCCAAGGGAAGGGAGGAGGCAGCAACTATAGGAGGGAGGAGTGCGGGCAAGGCGGGCTCTCCCAGGAGATGTGCCATCGCAGAGCAAACCTGCTTGCTTTGCTGTGGGTTTAGTTTCCTCTGTGAATGGTTCAGGTGGATTTGGGCACAAGTTATCCGCCATCACTGCACCATCACTAAATCTGGTAGATCAAAATTAGACCACTGATCATAATTTGGTGAGGAGCAACATTTTTGATTTACGGTGCATGCAAGTTCAAAGCTAAATCACACTGAAAGCAAGTGGTGAAACCCCTATCGAACATTGTTATTTCTGTTTTGATTGCTCTCACCCTCCTTAAATCTTAGGTAATTTGTGGCTTCATAAGAACACGAGACCTATCTCTCCAGGGTATTTTACCATCTGACAGCAGGAGTGCTATTAAGAACAAAGATCTTGAGTCACTTTTGCTCCTTGAGCACTGCAAAACTCTAGGCACGAAGCCTTCCCACTGCTATCAAACACGCGGATGGCAACAGGAATGC